CGCGATTTCTTCATCTCCTCTCTTCAAATTTCAATTTTTCCATCAAAATTGCTTCAGTATTTTGTTAAATCCATCACATTCATTAGATTTTCTCATCAAATCTCAAGGATCTACCTCATTTTCATCAAGAAATTTCACAAATTAGGGTTTTTGGCTTCCACACTCGAAAATTCTCCATTCTACCTCAAAACTAGTTACAAATCCAGTTAAAGCTTGACCCCATTTCAAAAAATCTTACAAAAATCTTGCAATTCATTCATTTGTCACCTGCAAAATTGAAATACCAAAAATTTCACCCTTTGCTCTAAGAATTAGATTCGACCATGCCTCCGAAGAAGAAATCGAAGAAGGGAGAAAGAAGCTCGTCTAACGTTGAGGCAGACACACCCATGCCTGATCGCTTCACCGAATGCCCCATTTTAATCGGTAAGTCCATTCATGTTTTCGAATTCTATATTCAATCTCCTTCACTTAAGATAGAAGACTACTTTGAGGGTATAGGATGGAAAAATATTATTTCTATCTCCGACATTGCCTATCCTAGACTAATTCATGATTTTTATCGTAATCTATCATTCTATTCCCAACATGTTACATGCACACTTAAGGGTAAAAGTATCACTCTCAATAGGCCTACTCTTCAGACTATACTTGAGTTATAGGAATGTGAAAATTACGCTTATGTCCAAAATTATTCGGTCAGATTTGAAGGCTATGACGAACTTGAAGCCTGTTGTCAGGTCACCGACTGACCATTAACTCCTAAAATGTTTTTAAACTTAGACCACCTCACTATTCCCTACAAAGTTCTTCATCATGCGATTGCACACATTATCGTCCCTAGGAGTGGCCATTTTGAAGAAGTCCATCATCTTGATTTATTTATTCTGGACTCACTCCTTGTTGGTCGCAAATTAGACTTTTCCTACATCTTCTTGAAACATATCCAGCATGTCCACTCCTCTTCTCGAATNTCATCTTGATTTATTTATTCAGGACTCACACCTTGTCGGTCGCAAATTAGACTTTCCCTACATCTTCTTGAAACATATCCTACATGTCCACTCCTCTTCTCGAATTCTAGGTCTACCCTATGGCATGCTTCTCACAAAAAATTTTCAACACTTTAACGTGCCATTAGATGAGCAACCTATTCTTTAGCTGAAACACACCGATATCATTAACATTAAAACCCTTAGTCGCATGAAAATTGTCAAAGGTGATGGGTAATGGGTGTGTCACACTCAAGACTTCGACAATGCTTCAGGCCCTACTACTTTGTCATTTATCGAGAAAGAGGCAGAAGAAGAGCGTGGTTATAATGATGATAATGATGGTGGTGATGGCGATACTGCACCACGGGCACGACATAGGTCTACTTCACATGTCGCACCGACCTACAGCCAACAATTATCTGAAGATCAATTCAACATCCTCCAAGGACGCATTGATTCTCTTACTACCACCGTTACTAGACAGATGGATGCTCTTGAGCCTCGAATTGAACAAATGAGTCTCTCACAAGAGGCCTTCTTTGAACATATGTATTCCATCTATCCTCGCGGCCTTCCTCTTCCGATGGAAGATTGATCGTGTCTAAGGGGAAAAATGGACTATTTGCTATTTTTGATTTGAATTGCTAAGACTTCCAATATAACTTTGGGTTATGCTTCATGATAACTTCTAATATGATCTATGATCTGCTTTCACTATTTTTGATCTATTCATTTGGAAATATGACTTTGAATTGTTGAAACTTCCAATATAACTTTGATTTATGCTTTATAAAATGATCTATGATCCACTTTCATATTTAATTGGAAAATGTATTCATGAGTAAAAGATAGGGGGAACGTTTTACATATCTCTACAAATCACATATTGTTTGTCATAATCAAAAAGGGGGAAATTGTTGACATATGATTAGTTCCACTTGTTTTGATTATAACAAACAATATACTTATGGTTCTAATATATCTTGTTTCTTGAGTTTTCATGTACAAATATCCCTAAAACTTTCAAAGGCACAAATCGTCATCAATGAAGAGTGTGGAAACAAAAGAGACTCGAAGAGAACAAGAATTATGAAGACCAGTATTTTAGAAGTTATTTATCGAAACCTCGTTTATATGTAGAGGCATACTCATCAATTCTTAGCAAAGCAAATAAAACTCAAATTATGTTTCATAATTCATCACGTGCATAAAGACATTTTTAAAAATGAAGATGATTTTGGAAAGTGAACATTTTTGATATATATAGTAAATTAACTCCAAAATCCAGTCATTTCGGTGAACCGAATTATGTTTCGGTGGACCGGTTTGATCGATCAAAGTATGTTTCGGTCGACCAGTTTGATCAACCGAAGTATCAACTGAAACTCCAACGGTTTGATTTTTGTAATGGCTATATCACACTTTGGTCGACTGAACTTACTCAACCGAAAGTGACTAATTTGCTCTATAAATACTCACCTCT